GATTTGCTTGATGAGGTAAAACCTCCTGGGAAGATCAAGTTTGTGGCTGCCGCTTCAGGTGCTTTGCTCCCTGTGATTGGTGTTGGGAATGCCAAGGTGATGGGAGCCAATGGAGAGCTTGTGGGGCTTGGGAATGTGCTGTTGGTTGAAGGTTTGTCCGCTAACCTTCTTTCTGTGCGCCGGCTGCAGAAGAGCAAGGCTGAAGTTACCTTCGGCCCAACCAGCTGCCGTGCAAAGCTTGGGAAGTTGCTGCTGTGGAAATTGGAGGAGAAGAGCAGCTGCATCAAGGACTTGTGGCAGCTGCCCATCATCCCTTGGAAGGGGAAACCACCAGCAACGGCAAAGGCAGCGGCAGCGGCTAAAGCAACTGCGGGAGGAGAGGAGACTGCACCAACTGCTGGGGCCCTGGATGCAGTCAAGAAGGTGCAGCAGCCACAACAGCCACATGGTGAGGTGCTTGCTGGTGTGGATGCGACAGCTGCATGGGCAAAGGCTTCATCTGGGAGTGGTGAGGCTGATTGGGAGACGTGGCATGAGAGGCTGTGCCATGTGAACATTCCTATGCTGCAGAAGTTGGTAAAGGATGGGTGCTTGAAGGGGCTGGAGGTGAAGGGGGGAGCAAAGGAGATTGGGAGCTGCCCTACCTGCCTTGAGACCAAATTCACGAAGTTTCCCTTCAGAAGCAGCACAGGACCAGCCAAGGCACCACTTTCACTAGTGCACATGGATGTGGTGGGCCCCACGAGGGCCCTTTCTCTCTCGGGCAGCCGCTACTTCTTGACGATTGTGGACGACCACACGCGTGCGGTGTGGGTGTACCCTCTCAAGACTAAGGGGGAGGTGGCAGCGGCTGTTCTTAAGGAGTGGATGCCGAGAGCACAAAGGGAAAGCGGACACAAGGTGAAGGTGATCCGCACTGACAACGGAGGAGAGTTCATCGGCGCTGATTTTGAGAAGGAGCTGAAGCGGAAGGGGATCCAGCATCAGCTCACAGTGCCTTACAACCCTCAGCAGAATGGCGTGGCTGAGCGGTTCAACCGGACCCTGCAGGAAGGTGCTCGCACTCTCCTTGGGCGTGCAGGGCTGCCGGATCCGTTTTGGGTGACAGCACTGCGGCAGGTCGTTGTTGTGAAGAACAGGGTGCTGGCGACTGTGGGGGACAAGCAGTGGGTCCCCTACACCAAGTGGTATGGGATTGCACCAGCTGTGAACATGCTGAGAGCCTTTGGGTGCATGGTGGTGTTTCATGTGCCTAAGGAGAAGAGGGGAAAACTGGAAGCTTCTGGGAGATGGGGTGTGCACTTGGGGCTTGCTAAGGATCACAAGGGCTGGCTGATTTGGGACTTGACCAGCCAGCAGCTGACTGTGTCAAGGGATGTGAAGTTCCTTGAGTCCTTGTACTACAAGGAGAGGAGGAGCAGCAGCAGCAGCAACAGCAGCAGCAGCCGCAGCAGCAGGAGGAGCAAGGTGCTCCACAAGGTGCCGGACGTACGGCTGACCGTCCTAGGAGGGATGTGCGCCCTCCTAACAGGCTGACCTATGCAAGCCGTGGCAAGCCAAAGGTGGTAAGGGCTGGGAGTGTGGCTGAGCAGTGTGATGAGGATGAGATAGCACACTGCTACTGGGCAGCCGTCCCTGAGCCCAAGACGCTAGCTGAGGCATTGAGCGGGCCCGATGCTGAAAAGTGGAAGCAGAGTGTGAAGGAGGAGTATGATTCTCTGCTAGAGAATGAGACGTGGGAGCTGTGTGAGCTGCCACCTGGGAAGAAGGCCATTTCTTCCAAGCTGATTTATAGGTACAAGTACGGACCTGATGGGGCGCTGACCCGCTACAAGTCAAGGCTTGTGGCTAAGGGGTTTCAGCAGACAAAGGGAAAGGACTTCAACGAGCTCTATGCTCCTGTGGGGAAAGGCACAACACTTCGGGTGTCATTGGCAATGGCAGCATACCGTGGATGGCGGGTGAAGCAGATGGACATCACCACCGCCTTCCTCAATGGGATCATTCTGGAGGAGCTGTACATGTTACAGCCTGAGGGTTTGGATGATGGGAGCGGCAGGGTGTGCAGGCTGAAGAAGGCCATCTATGGCCTGAAGCAGGCTCCTCGTGCATGGTACCACAAGTTAGAGGAGACTCTGCTGGCTGGGGGTTTCAAGAAGAGTGAGTGTGATCACAGCTTGTTCCTGCTGCAGGAGAAGGAGCAGTTTCTCATGCTCCTGGTGTATGTGGATGACATCCTGCTCTTCTCTGAGTCGTCTGCAATGATTGAGCATGTGGAGGAGATGCTGGAGATGCAGTTTAAGTGCTCCAAGATGGGAGATGTGAAGTACTATTTGGGCATGCATGTGGAGAGGGACCTTGACAAGGGAGTGTTGAGGTTGCACCAGAGAAAGTATTGTGAGGGGCTGGCTGAGAAGTATGGGCTGCAAGATGGAGGAAAGCCAGCCACCCCACTGCCTTCGGGGTTCACTGTGGAGCCCTGTGCTGAAGAGGAGGTGGTGGGTGAGAGTGACAGGAAGCTGTTTCATTCCATGGTGGGGGCACTCAATTATGCGGCTAACTACACGCGGCCTGACATTGCCTTTGCTACATCCAGGCTTGCAAGTGTGGTTTCACGCCCCAGTCATGAGCAGCTGGAAGCGGCCAAGAGGTTGGTCCGCTATGTGAGCGCTACGCCATTAGTGGGCTTGGAGTACAGTGCTGTGCGACAGAGGCTGCAGAGGGGTGCAGCTGATTTGGGCAAGGGGGAGATGCTCCTGACCTGCTACACCGACGCTAGCTTCAACTCTGTGAAGGCGGATGGCACCAGCATTGGAGGCTATGTGTGCCTGTTTGGAGGTGGTGCAGTGAGCTGGCGCAGCAAGAAGCAGAACGAGGTGGGGCAGTCCTCGTGTGAGACAGAGTACATGGCTCTGCATCATGGGGCAAAGGAGGTGGTGTGGCTGAGGCGTTTGTTGGAGGAGATTGGAGTGTGCCAAAAGGAGCCAACTGTGATTTTCTGTGACAACGAGTCGGCTGTGAAGCTTGCTAAGAACGCTTGCCTTCATGGGCTGACGAAGCACATCAGGCCTAAGTGGCATTGGGTGAGGAGGCTCCTGGACAAGGAGGTGCGGCTGGAGATTGTGAAGACCCATCAGCAGGCGGCTGACATTCTCACCAAGTGCCTGGCTGAATCTGAGCATTGGAAGGGCATGAAGCTTGCTGGGATGAGTGTGCATTGAGGATGCATGCTTGAGCTATGGCATGTGGGATGATGGTTGGCAGCCAGAGGGGGAGTTTGTTGAGTGATGCTACCATTCGCATTCACGTCTGTCTGCCTCCCATCATATGTTCGTGCGTTGCATGCGTGTTGTGAGTGTGTGCAAGAATTTGTGTTTTGTGCGGTTTGGTTTTTCTGAGTGTGTGTGTGAATGTTATTTGGCTTGAGCAGATATCTGAAGTGACTCCTCTGCTCAAGAGCTTTCCGAGGAACCAAGTATCGCTTCAATCGGAGCACGAACTAGAAAGTTACGAACGTTGGAGTTCGTATGCTTTTGATATTTGGTTGTGGTGACTATGGGAAGTTGTGGGGTTGACTCAATATGGGGTACAGACTTTTGGGGGTTGGGAAATTCGTCTTTTCTACTGTAGTTGCTGCCAAATGGTTGGGAGAAACCAAACCAGGTTGGCAAGTGTGGCCAAGTTGGGTTGAGGTGGATTGTGGAGGTTGGGATAGTGACAAAGGTCAAAGTTGGGTTGCCTATGGGGAAGGGAATTGTATGGCATGGGGTTTCCTTGGTTGGGGACTCTCTTGGGACCTTCCCTCTCGTCCTCCTCATCCCCTCCTACCTGGTTCTATTGCTACTCTAACTTTCTTGTGTGAACTTGTGAGATCATTGTGATTGAGTTACGTTTTCTATGGCAGCATACCCCCTAGTGCGCCGAAGTTCATAACTCGAGTTATACTCCATATTCTGATACTATTCAAATTGGGAAAGATAGCCACGGTCCAGGGCTACAACATACTCGAGTTTGAAAGAATTCTAACAGTGGACCTTTCGTCGACGACGTTTCTTGTGACGACGACTTTTCTGTCCAGAATTGTAGTTGACGATTTTGAGATATTTCAGCCCCTAATCTTCATAGACTCCGTCCTTAATCTATAACAGATAGGTCTCCAAGACACAATCCTGACCCACATCAAACGGTACAAAGTCCTCCATTTGAAATGTCGACGTGTGCGTGGTGTCGCGCTGGTTGACGATGAAGATCGACACAAAGTGCTGATCGGGATGGAAGAACGCCGCAATGCAGTGTTGGCACCCGTCCGACGTGTCGATTCGCAGAGGCAGGCTCCCTCTCGGCGCCCCGCACACAAACTGCTGCATCATGTAGAGCTTCTTGGAGATCACCAGATCCAACGGCTTAACTTCTGTGTCGTTCAGCCGGTAGATCCTGACCGCAATCAGCCCCCATTTGAGGAACGCGCCGGGGTTAGTAGCCACCCCATTGACGGCCTACCAGAAAATCCAGGTCGAGGCCCCCATGATGTTGACAGCCTGCACTATCTGCCGAGCCGTCAACAGCATCACGCCGACACCATTCCCGGTCACCCATATCGGCCCCACCTCCGACACCCACACCTCCTTGCCCAGCCCGGTCGCCATGTGGTGCATGCTCACCATCACACCTTCCATGTGCTGCCGCATATCCGCTATGCACATTCAGACAAAAAAACTCGGCCTTCACCGCAGCAGGGAACTTGTACGTGTACCGAAGCGTCGCGCCGACAAAACTGTCAAACCCGCGACTTTTGTCGGGAGCTTGCGCTTTTTAAGGGTGGCCATAAGGAGCTGAATGAGAGTGGTCAGTTTCTCAGGCCCGTAGTTGCACCCCTCATTCGTGTGGCCCTGCGTCCACCACCCCTCCAGTGCCTCATTCCCCGGATTCGTGGTCGAGAAAGTCACTTTCCAATGCGTGCGGTAACTCTCGATCACCGAAGCTTGGTACTCCGTGTACGCCTAGAAATACTCGGGCTTTAAGTTACACTTGCCCATTTCAGTCTCGGCCGTGTCCCCGCTGAAGGTCATCCACCAGGGCGGCGAGTACGACACCGCCTCAACCTCGTCCACATTCTGCGCCAGGGCGGCGAGCATTGTCCGCCTCTGCCGCCCGTCTGACGTCCAGTCGTACGGCCCGTTTGGCTGGACGCTGAAGCCGGGGATATAGTGGGTTTCCCAGGCAGCAGTGAGGAACTGGGAGTTGTTGGTGTAGTTGACGCTCCCGCCTATGAGGTAGCGGGCCAAATTGAGTCCGATGCCCTTGTCCTTGTCGAAGAGTAAATCCATGATGAGATCAAACTGCTCGTCTGGCAGCTTGCCCACATAGTTGGCGAACCTGGGAGGAGCTGTCAGAAGAATGAACGAGAATGGATGAACTAGCAAAGAGTTGTACCCCTTATAGGCTACCCCACTATAGCCTACACAATGTAAGCACTATACAAGTTTGACAGGGGCAATGGGCAGGGGGCAAGGGGCATCAAGCAAGGGGCAAGGGGTAAGGGGTATTAATGCATGGGAGGTGGGAGAGTGTGCACACGAGACATGGGACATGGGACACGAGACATCGGACATGGGACATGAGGCATGAGACATGAGACATGGGACATGGGACATGAGACATGAGACATGGAACCATGCCAGCTAAGCAGGTAACCATGCCAGCTAGGCGACTCACCATGCGAGCTAGACGACTCAACATGCCAGCTAGGCGACTCACCATGCCAGCTCAGCAACTCACCATACCAGGTCAGAAACTCACCATGCCATATCAGAAACTCACCATGCCAGATCAGCAACTCACCATGCCAGATCAGCAACTCACCATGCCAGCCCAGCAATGTTGAAATAGTAGGTGTACCGAGGCTTAGGAGAAACCGTAGCCAAGGTGAATGTCGAGAGAAAAGTGGAGAAGGAATGAATGGGATTAGGGCAAGGAGGGGGATACAATGAAGTGTCGAGCAATTTACTGTACCCCCTAAGGCTAAACCCACTACAGCCTAGATAGCAGTAAACTTATAATTTGACAAGCAACTCACCATGCCAGCGAAGTGCCCCAGCCTCGCCACGTCTGTCCGTTCCAGCCAGGGGCGATGGTGATGGTGGAGGTGGCTGCGAGGCAATGAAAGGGGTGAAGGGGAGGAGATGGAAAGAAGAAGTTGGGAAGGAAAGGAGAAGACATTGAGCTAGCCGACGGGACTCGAGGCACAGCGAGGGCACAGCGAGGGCATGACGAAGATGGTCTAACACTAACTGCGATGCTGGCTATAATGAGAACATCATTGGCTGCCACCTGCTCTGGCTCAACACTTACCGTGTTTTCTCTCCTGCTCATCCACCCACCTCGACTCTAAAGTGCGGATACCTCCCTCCCAGATCTGCACGCGCGTATGATCGCATCATCATGAGATCAATTGCGGGGCATTGCCATGATCATTGCCCCCCCCCCAACCAATTGCCGCCCTCGTTGCCCCCATCGCCCCCCCCTTGCCCTCATTCCCCCCCCCCCGTTGCCCCCATAGTCCCTCCGTCGCCCCTATTGACCCCCCGTTGGCCGCAGCCCTAATCCAATGGGAGTATCTCCCCCCTTCCCAGGGTCCTCCTGTTCTTTGAAGGACGTCACAACTCTATATCGCGGATATCTCACCTCCGGATCGGCACACACCAATGATCTCATTGGCGGGTATCAGCCGCGCTTCGTTCCCCGCGGGCAGAATACTCCCCCAGTCCCCGTCGCCTGGCCGGTCATCGGGAGGGGAAGGGGGAGGCGCGGAAGCCTGCGCGACCACTGCACCCGCGGATGTTAGGCTTTGGGCGGTAGATTGGCGGAGCGCGGACGAGGAGGCGGTGGAAGTCACGTGCGCGGAAGTTCTGCCTTGCGCCGTCATGTGCGACCGCAATCATCCCTGTCGCGCCGGCCACAGCAGCATCCACTCTGCGTCGCACTCGCCCTCGTCGGCGCCGCTGGTGGCGGCGGAAGCCGCCAGGGAACGCCCGCGCGCGGCTGACTCCGGCGCCCCCCCAACCGCAGGCTGCGGAAAAACTTTCGCCGCTTCTATGGGCTGCCCCGTCCGCCCGAAGACGTGGCTCTGACGCGGCGATTGCACTGCTTCATGGGTAAAGGAGAGGATCAACGGCGGGTGCCACGCGCGGGGCAGCGGAATGTAGACACTGGTCCTGTTCGAGTCGCGGTTCCTGGTCACGGGCGGAACTGAGGTAGGTGGTAACTGCGCACCGATGGCAGTGGCGCGGGTGGCTGAGAAAGGCCCCGCGGCCCTAGCTCTCGGCCCCGCGGCCCCCCGTCGCCCCTAGCTCTCGGCCCCGCGGCCCCCGTCACCCCTAGCTTTCGACCCCGCGCCCCCCCCCCTTCCGTCGCCCCGTCGCCCCGAACCGTGACCCATGGCCCCGTCGACCCTAGTCGCGGCCCCTCGGCCCCTCGCGACCACCGCCCCTAGCCGCGTCCCCTCGGCCCCGTCGACCCTAGTCGCGGCCCCTCGGCCCCCGTCGACCCCGTCGCCCCTAACCGCGGCCCCTCGCCCCCCCCCCCAGTCGCCCAGCCGCCCCTAGCCGCGACCCCTGGCCCCGTCGCCCCTAGCTTTCGGCCCCGCGGCCCCCCCCCGTCGCCCCGTCGCCCCTAGCCGCGACCCGTCGCCCCGTCGCCCCTAGTCGCGGCCCCTCGGCCCCTCGCGACCGCCGCCTCTAGCCGCGGCCCCTCGGCCCCGTCGACCCTCGTCGCGGCCCCTCGGCCCCTCGCGACCACCGCCCCTAGCCGCGGCCCCTCGGCCCCGTCGACCCTAGTCGCAGCCCCTCGGCCCCGTCGACCCTCGTCGCGGCCCCTCGGCCCCTCGCGACCACCGCCCCTAGCCGCGGCCCCTCGGCCCCGTCGACCCTAGTCGCGGCCCCTCGGCCCCGTCGACCCTCGTCGCGGCCCCTCGGCCCCTCGCGACCACCGCCACTAGCCGCGGCCCCTCTGCCCCGTCGACCCTAGTCGCGGCCCCTCGGCCCCCGTCGACCCCGTCGCCCCTAATCGCGGCCCCTCGCCCCCCCCCCCCCCCCCTCGCCCCTAGCTGTGGCCCCTAGGCCCCTCGCGACTTACCTCCTGTTTGGCCCCTCGGCCCCTCGGCCCCTTGGCCCCAGGCCCCTCGGCCCCTTGGCCCCTCGGCCCCTAGCCCCCCCCCCCCCCCCCCCCCCCTCCCCCCCCCCCCCCCCTCGTGTTTGGCCCCTCGGCCCCTCGGCCCCTCGGCCCCTTGGCCCCCGGCCCCTCGGCCCCTTGCCCTCTCGGCCCCTAGCCCCCCCCCCCCCCCCCTCGTGTTTGGCCCCTCGGTCCCTAGGCCTATTGGCCCCGCCCCTCGGCCCCTAGGCCCCAGGCCCCTCGGCCCCTTGGCCACTGCTACTGCTCCTGCTGCTAGTGCTACTGCTGAAACTGCTTCTACTGCTACTGCTACTGTTGCTGCTGCTGGTCCTGCTGCTACTGCTGCTCCTGAGTGCTGCGCCACTATGGCTTCACTTCAAGTTTTAGCGTTTCATCATGAGGGCAGACCGGTTGCATTTGACACGTGGCTCGACGATCTGCAGCTGTACCTACTGAGTGATATTAAGGACAGAGTCTTGCTGTTTGACCACGTGTTCGGTGCCGCTCCAGCCCCTCCCGCCACGGCTGACAGTGCGACTTGCTCACAGTGGCTTTCTCGCGACGCTGCTGCCCGCTTAGCCATTCGCAACCACCTGCCGGTGGCCGAATGTACTCACTTCGGACAGCACAGGACAGCACAGGCCCTGTACGACGCTGTAGTTGCTCGCTACTCCTCCCCTGCCACTTCTGCTCTAGGCAGACTGCTACTGCCCTACCTGTTCCCTGAGCTGTCGGCTTTTGCCACAGTAGCGGACCTGGTTTCCCACCTGCGCACTAGCGACGCTCGCTACCGCGCTACCGTCCCTGCTGAGTTCCTTGCCACGAACCAGCCCCCGATGTTCATCACCCTCTACTTCAGTTGCTGTAGGTGCTGCTCGTGGCACTCCGTGCCCGCCCTTCTTTGAGGGGTGCTCCTCCTCCCCCCTTGCCCCCTCCTTCGCCTATGCTGCTGCTGCAGACGTCTCTGTTACTGAGGACGTCGGAGCTGCTTCTGCCTGTGCGAAGCGCCGCAGCAGCAAGGGCAAGGGTGGCAGGGGTGGTGGAGGTGGCAGCGGTGGTGGTGGAGGTGGCAGCGGGAGCGGTGGTGGGGGCGGCGGTGGAGGTGGTGGAGGCAGTGGAGGGGGTGGCGGCGGTGCGACTGGTGGCGGGAGTGGGGGCTCTGGTAGCGGCTGTGTAGGCAGCGGAGGGAGTGGCGGCACTGGAGGCGGTGGGACTGGTGGTGGTAGGTCTGGACCACGGCGTGGAGGCCCTGGTGGTGGTCCGCGGCAGCAGCAGCAGCGTCGAAGCGGGACCCAGTCGCCCCAGCAGCTCCGTGAGTGGTTGTTTCAGCGTGGGAAGGTTGGGGATAGCGATAGCTGCTCGTATGTCATTCGCACGGGTGTCCGTGCTGGCCAGACATGCGGGAAACTTCACACTGAGCACCGCTGCTTCTCCCGCCTTGACGTCGCCTGGCGTGCTGAGTTTGGTGACGACGTCGAACGTCCTAGCTGGGCGGATTCGCTTAGGTCTGGAGTTGCTATCTTTGATCTAGACTATGATGTTATTCGTTCTGCTATGTATGCTTTGTCTGTTAGTGCTGAGGGTGACTGTTACCGGTGTGTGCCGCCTGACCCAGGTATAGCTGCTGCTGCTCTAGGTGCTAGTGAGTGTGGTACTCTCCCTGGTACTGCGCCTGCTCAGGCCTTGCAGATCATCACGCTGGACTCAGGCGCCTCTGCTTGTTTCTTTCGTGACAGCACCACTCTCACTCCTCTTCCTGCACCTGTTCCGGTCCAACTGGCTGACCCCTCTGGGGGCCCGGTCGTTGCCAGTTCCTCCACTGTCCTCCCGTGTCCGGCGGTTCCGTCCGGCTCACTGTCAGGTCTTCACCTCCCATCGTTCTCTATGAACCTGGTGAGTACAGCTGCCCTCCAGGATGCGATGGTCACTACCACCACTCCTGGGGGTCAGCGTGTGTCGATCTGCACGTGCACACGGACGGGGCGTCACCTGGCTACGTTCACTCGTCGGCCAGGGTCGAGTCTGTACACACTGGCTACCGAGCCTCCTCAGGTAGCTGCGTCTGCTCAGGTGTTCGCGTCAGGTCAGGTAGCCGCCTCTTGCTCGTGTCGCCTCCTGTCGCACCAGACTCTTCTGTAGCACCACCGCCTGGGTCACCCCTCCCTGCCACGCCTTTGTGGCATGCACTCCCGTCTTCTCGTCTCTGTTCTACCCAGGTCTCTGCCTCCCCTCCTGCCCTCGCCTGCCCCGCCCTGCCTTCCTTGCGTCCAGGGGCGGCAGCGCGCCGCTCCTCACTCCTCCTCGTTTCCCCCGACGACAGCTCCCCTGCAGACTCTCCACATGGACATGTGGGGCCCAGCCCGCGTCAGTGGACAGGGCTGCGAGCGCTACTTTCTGCTGGCAGTTGACGATTACACGCGGTACACCACGGTCTTCCCCTTGCGCAGCAAGCGTGAGTTCGTTGATGTCTTGATCCCTTGGATCCGCACAGTCCATCTCCAGCTCCGCAAGCGGTTCGGCCAGGACCTTCCTGTCCTGCGTCTGCACTCTGACATAGGTGGTGAGTTCTCCTCCAACCTCTTGCAGGACTTTTGTCGTGTGGAGGGCATTCTCCAGTCGTTCACGCTTCTGGACTCCCCTCAGCAAAATGGGATTGCTGAGCGCCGCATTGGCTTAGTCATGGAGGTCGCTCGTACCTCCATGATCCATGCGGCCGCGCCCCATTTTCTGTGGCCGTTTGCGGTCCGGTACGCTTCGCATCAGCTCAACCTCTGGCCCCGTGTCTCCTTGCCGGAGACCTCGCCCACACTGCGTTGGACGGGGAAGGTTGGCGATGCGTCGGTGTTCCGAGTCTGGGGTTCTCGTGCCTTTGTTCGCGATACGTCCGCCGACAAGCTCTCCGCCTGCGCCATTCCCTGCGTCTTCCTTGGCTTTGTCCGTGACGCGCCTGGCTGGCAGTTTTACTACCCCACCTCGCGCTGTGTCCTCCCGTCTCAGGATGTCACGTTCGACGAGTCGGTTCCCTTCTACCGTCTCTTCCCCTACCGCTCTGCCCCTCCCCCGCCCCCGCCGCTCTTCCTTGCTCCCGGTCCACTTCCGGTAGACCCCCTCCCGCCCCAGGGTCCTGCTCCCTCGGGTGTGTCTCAGGTAGACCCTCTCCTTGGTACTGGACATGTTCAGGTAGCTATCGGCTCAGGTGCTAATCCAGGTGCTCCGTCTGGGGGTGCGGAGCCGGGGGGTGCGGGGTCTGAGGGTGCTGGGTCTGGGGGTGCTGGGCGTGGGGGTGAGGAGCTTGGGGGTGCTGAGCCTTAGGGTGTTGAGCCTGGGGGTGCTGCGCCTCGGGGTGCTGCTTCGTCTGGAGGTCCTGCTGGTTCTTCCCCGCGACTGTCTTCGCAGCAGCTGTGGGAGTGGCTTGTTCGGCGCGCACACCGTCCGAGTGGAGCTCCCGGAGCTGGAGGCGCTGTAGACACTGGAGCTGGAGGTGCTGGTGTTACTGCTGGATCTGGTGGTACTGGAGGTACTGCGGCTACTGGTCCTGGAGGTGCTCGTACCAGTGGTGCTGTTGCTGCCGGGACTGGTGGTGTTGGGGGCGCTGGAGCTGGAGACCCTACGGAGCCCGGAGCAGCTGGCGCTGGAGGCGCTGGAGCTGGACGAGCTGGAGTTGGAGGCACTGGCACCGGAGGCGCTGGAGCTGCAGGAGCTGGAGCTGTTGACCTTGGCGCTGGAGGTGCTGGAGGCACTGTGCGGCCACGACCG